TTAGCTTCACGTACGACTCGCTGTTCGTGTCGGACTGGACCCGGCTGGGCCTCCTCGACGTAGACTACGGCTGGGGCAAGCCCGTCCACGTTATACCGTTCGCATTCTTGGATATCATGGCGGTCGGCATCATCGGGGCACCGCCGGCGCCGCAAAAGGGGACACGGGTGATGACGCAGTGCGTCGAGAAGGAGCACATGCAGGCGTTCCTGGAAGAGATGAAGGACTTAGCCTGAACCAGCAGCAGTGTAAGTGTAGTTCTTCGTATCCTTCAAAGAGTCCTATAATAATGTCCGAGTCCAAACGTTTCATGCATGCTTGTCATCAGAACAAGAGCGAAGTCTCTGTTCTATCTCTGTAACTTGTTTATTTGTATGTCCATGAACAACAAAAGATGATACTGATCAGGTTGTTCTACAAAGTGTAGATTCGATCTTTGTCTATTGCTGTAACGAAGGCATAAGGACAAACAAATTAATGCAAGCTTTAGAAAGACGATGAAGGGATGAACTCTGATCCAAAAACTTCCTTGCGTGATCTTCCGGCTTTCTGTTTCGACTCCATCACCAACAGATGCTTCTCGTTGGCTGCACCTTCCAAGACTATAAGCGCGCCCTTTGTCGGTTCTCAATCGCCTCTAACACACGTCTCCACTTCGCCACTGGAGCAAAGATGACTCACAGCTGTTGTGCCTTGGCGAGGGTTTTGACGTTGAAGACCAAAAGAAACTCGCGGTGCTCTTTCGTTCCCACTTCGGAAAGATCAAATCGCACCAGCTCGAAAGAGTCGGCATGCGTTTTCCCACCTTTGAAGTCAACATAAACCTTCGACATTTACGTGGTTGACCCGTGTAGAATAACCCAAAATCCTATCCAAAAATTAGTCAAAGCATGATGGTCATAGATTTAGTTGATGGTATGGAGATGAACATAAAGAATTAGAAACGTATAATTTCGATAGAGCATCGAGTCTGATCTAACAATATTATTAATGTGGGAAGCAAAATGACATCCGATATGAGGATGAGCAGCTGCATATCTTAACTATTAAAGGAGAATAAATATTATTCTCAGCCGAAAACAAATCAAAAAACCAAAAAAAGATGTCGACTTAAAATATCATGAATGGATTTATGAGGAAGAATAATGATAGCATTCATTAACTCCTATTTCTCCAACTGCTTGGATTCTACTAGTGGTTATATATATGATTCTATAACATGTTTAATATTTCCATCAACTTCATCTTTCATCCTCTCACCAACCAATATTAACAAGGAGAAAAGTTAGCACCGATGTGGGCACCAACCAACATACTGCGGCTTTAATGTTCGATGAGTCACCGAGCTCCATCAAGAATTATGTTGCATCGGTGGCTTTAGAAAGTGGAACCGATGAATGGCCCAAAAACAATGCTTTGTTCTTCTTCCACTAGGATAACACTCGACAAGCATCAGAAACATTTCTGTCCAAATGATATCTTTTGCTACGATCACAGACATGAAAGCTGAGCATGTGGATCCCTGATTTCATCATGAAGAGAAACTGTTCCTCCTTGTGTTAATCGCTTGACTGCTGGTTTCTTCTGCAACTTCATGCATGCATACATTTCATTTCATAGTGAGACCA